CTTAGCAGTCCATGGTATATTCAATACTCTTCTCCAACACCACAGCTCAAAGGCATCAATTCTCCTTCTATCCTCCCTAGTCATTGTCCAGCTCTCTGACACATAGCAAGTGATTGCAAAGACCATGACCTGTATCAGGCATTCCTTAGTATCCAGACTGACATTGTTGCTCTTTAGTACTTTAGTGAGGTCTCTAACCACAGACTTTCCCATCACAATACATCTTTTAATTTCCTGGCTGCTGGTGCCAAGAGCATTAATTGTGGAGCCAAGCAAACTAAAGGCGTTAACAATCTCAATCTCTTCACCATCCATCATGATGATCTTGAAGAGTTAACAGGAATGGGAAGAAAGGGAGAGTGGAGTAAAAAGTAATAGATAGATTGGCTAAAGGGAAAGACAATACATAATAAAAAATTTATTAAAAACTCCGCTTACTTCCATCGAGTCGGAACCAAATCATAGCTGTCGCTAGAGTGGGCTTTCAGAGGCTGTAAATTGCACAGGAGATCTTCTCCATCTTTTTCCTTCTGAGCAGCTCATGGATTTGAACTGCCTGACCTTGCGTAGGTAGTACTACTCCTTACTTGACTGGCATTACATGGGAAGAGATTTCCCATCTTTCTCCCGCAGAGCAGCTGGAGGATTTGAACCACATACCTTTTTTGGGAGTTGACAGCACCACTCTTTACCGCTAGGCTCCCAGAGTTCCCTAAGGGATTGACTTGACATTGTCCTTCATGAACTGCCTTAATCAATGAAAATGAATATTTTTTAAAAAGTGCCTTGTTCCAGACTGTCAATTACCACACACACAATGTCTAATCAGTGGTTCCCTTCAGATCCATGCTTCCTTCTCACAGGACTGTACAGGGTTCACTGTTTACTTATGCATCCGCATAACAAAGACAGTGGGTCAGGGAAGGGAGGGCAAAGGCATGTCGGTGCATGAGTGAAACTCCATCCTTTCTGTGAGCTTTCACCAAAATCACAATTACAAAAAAAGAAAGAATCTTGTAGGGGGTGAAAATTTTAAAAATAAGTAAAACAATATGTCTATGAATTCTTGAACAAACAAAATCACTATGGTTTATAAACATCCACTCAAATAAATAGAAAAAAGGAAATATGAAAATACGGTTTGTAGTATTTTTAATTTCTTGAAAAGATTCTTATGAATTTAATTATTTGTTTATTTAAAACAACTATGAGATATCATCTCACCCCAGTAAGAATAGCAAAATTTAACAGAACAGCAAACATCCAATGTCGGCAAGGTTGTGGAGAAACTGGAACCCTTATTCACTGTTGGTGGGAGTATAAAATGGTGCAACCACTCACTATGGAAGGCTGTATGGCGCTTTCTCAAAAAGTTGCAAATAGAAATACCATTTGACCTAGCAATTCCACTACTGGGGATTTACTCTAAAGATACCATAACTACCACCCAAGCAGATATATGCACACTGGTGTTTATCGCAGCATTGTTCACAATAGCAAAGAGCTCGAAACAACCCAAGTGCCCATCAACAAACAAATAGATAGAGAAGCTCTGGTATATTCACACAGTAGAATACTATGCAGCATTGAAAAACAAGGAACTAATGAAATATTATTAAAAATGAATGACCTGGAGGACATTATGCTGACAAATATCTCAGTCGCAAAAGGACAATTATTGCATAGGGCCACTGTTGTAAAACAGGACTGACATCAAGTTTGAGGTAAGACAGAAAAGGAGGGGGATGAATGATGTATACAGCATCAAAATAGATGAAGGAGAGAACTGTTTAAAAGGGACATATGAATGGGTGTTTTTATCATTATAGAAGTCCACAGTGAAGGCTGCATATTGTAGTGGACTTGGCGGGGAGAGATTGCATAACAATGAAACAGTTTTTCTTTTTCTTTTCAAGGAGAAGAGTGAATTGTGGAGGAGGGTGTGGGTAGGGAGAAAAGTGCAACAATAAATGACTGAAAACCCTAAGTCTCTGTAAACTTTCATTAAAATTATTTTTTTAATTATTTCTGTTAATAAATATTTAATGATTTATTTAAAAATATTTATTAATTTACACTTTAAAAACATTTTTCTAATAGCAGACAAAATTCTTTTAATCTGTTTCTTGGGAGAAAGATGGATAATATCCTGCCTGGGAAAATGACAACTTGGGAAGCAATTTAAAGACAGGGGGTAGAGCATGGTATTCCATCGTGGGAATAGACCACAATTTCTCAATCCATTTGATTGTGGCTGGACATTTGGGCTGTTTCCACATTTTTGTGGTAATGAATGACGCTGCTTATGAACATTGGTGTACAAATATCTATTTGTATCTCAGTTCTAAGTGCCTTGGGATTTTATTTGATCAATACTAGACAGTGCTCAGGAGCAGTGATTTTGAAAAATACCACATTACATAGGAGAGGCTGGAGAGAGCATTATGCTGAGTGAACTAACCCAGTCTCATAAGGACACATACTGCATAGGACCTTATTGTAAAAGCAGAAGGATGTAGGATGTGTATGAAGGCCCCGGGGGGGGGGGCATGGGGAAGCAGAAATCACAGAAGGAATTGGGAAAGATCCCATGGGGATCTGAAAAGACAGGGTAATAGTGAATCTAGATCGATGGTGATTAATTTTATAAAACAGGACTGACATAGCAGGTTAGGGGAGACTGAGAAAGATGGGATAAATTATGTATACTGCATCGAAACAGATGAGAGAAAGAACTGCTTAAAAGGGATATGTGATTAGGTATTATTGTCATGACAGGAGTCCAGAAACAAAGGCTGCAGAGTAGAGTGGACCTGGGGGAAGGGATTGTATAACAATGAAAGAATTTTTATTTTACTTTTCAAAGAGAAGAGAGACCTGGAGGGGAGGGGCAGGCAGGCAGAAAAGTGCAGTAATGAATGAATGGAAATCCAAAATCTCTGTTAATTTTCATTAAAATTAATAATAATAATAAATTTTAAAAACACAATGTATGGGAATGATGGTATGAAACACAATGTGAATGAAGGAATGTGTGAAGCGCACAGGAAAAGACAGTGGACGGTGCACGCTAAACCAGTGCGGACAGTGTCCTCATTCACTGAGCTTAATCATCCCCACACTCGAGTGAACATCCTAGCAACAGCTTGGTGATTCCCAAGTGTGAGTGCAGAGACGAGGGAAAGGGAAGGGGCTGTGGAGTGACAGAGCAAGCCCGCCCCCCAGCAAGCCCCCACAAGGACGTGCCTGCAGGAGTGGGAAGGGCGGGTCACCCCACGATTAGGGCCAGCCAGGCAGGGCAACGCCTGTTGGCTGCCGGAGCTGTTTAATGTGTCACCCCAGGGGTGGGGCAGGCAGAAGCTGGAAGGGACTTCCTTCCCCAGCACGGTGGGACAAACCCAAGTTCCTCCCAGCCGGAACATCCCCGGAGTGGGCGGGCTGGAGGCGTCTGCCCCCCACCCCAGTCCCAATTCAAGTGAAGCCTCCGCAAGTCAAGGCGAGCAGGTGCCGGAGCACTTCCTAAGCGCTCGCATTTCCTTCCCCATCACAGCTCGCCCCGTTGCCTCATCCTCTCCAGCCCTTAACTTGGTGGATGTTGCGGCGGCTCCGAGGGGTGATGGCCGACGACAGCTCCCGCCTCCAGGTGCCCCGCCGGGCCTGTGCGTGGGTCCCCAAGGCCGCCCTTCTGCTGGCTGCGGGCTTGGTCGGCGTCCTCGTCCCCGTCTGCTACAACCTGTGCACGTGGAAGCAGCGGGAGCCGATGGAGGTGAGGCGCCCGGGGAGGACCACGGAGAGGCGCCCGGCTGCTGCGGGTCCCCAGCCCCTTGCCCCAGAGAAGCCTGTGGCCACCTGGGTGGGGTTCAGAGTCTGGGGAGAGGCGGGGTCCCGGAGAGGGGCTGAGGGGCCGTGGGAAGGTGCTTTATCAGTAGGCTGACCCCAAGGCGCAGGTGGAAAAGATGAGGCCAGAGAGGCGAGGGGCAGGGAATGGAGTCCGAAGTCGGGTCCTGCTCTGGGGCCAGTGACGCCCGGAGGAGTGGAAGGGGCATCCCGGCGCAGGAGGCATATTGCGGGAAAGGTGCACTGAGGGGCCGTGATGACTGGCGGCTGGTCTTCCCCCAAGAGGATGACTCAGAGGCTGCTGGGGGCTTCACAGGGCCGAGAGGGGGCTTCCAGGGGCCCTTAGCCCGCAGGCCAGGCCTCAGCGGGGGCACAGCTGTTGCAAGGGGCACCAAGTTGCCGGCGCACACGCGCGCACACGCGCACACCCGCTCCCCGGCTACATCCAGGAAACCAGGGAGTTCCTTCGAAGGTCCGGTCATCCCTCTGCTCCCTGATGCTACTACCTTACTTCCTCTTTGAGGACCTTTCTCTTTTTTACCCCCACTTTTCTTTCCAAATGTCACGCACAGGCCCTGTGAGTTGAGAGGTGAGGAGGAGGAGGACGGGGTGGCCAGAGAAGAGAGGCTTTCTGACTTGAGGGACACAGACCGCCCCTGCCCCATGCTTGTATCACTGCTCTGTGTTCTCACCTTTTCTTTCAGCCGATCGCAGCTGAGCTCCAGCTGAACCACACAGGTAAGGAGGAGCTGGGGGTGTGCGCAGAGGGGTGGGGGAGTCCAGGGGGAGGGAGGGGATGGGGTCTGGAGGAGAAGAGAGGAGAGGGGAAAGGCAGAGGGAGGAAGAGAGGGAGAAGGAAACGCAGACAGAGGGTGGGAGAAGACAGAGGCGCAGGGTGTGCTGGATGCCACCGAGCTTCTCCTGGGTCTTCACCTTTGACTTCCTCTCCTGGAGCAGGAGCTCTGATGGCCTAGGGGTAAGAAGCTGCGCTGCCAGCCTGGAGGCACGAGGTTTGAATCTAGGAGCTCCTCCTCGTGCAAGGGAGCCAAGCAGTCGCCCAGACTTTGGGTCAATTCCAGGTCTGTGGCACATAACAACCTCAGCCACCTGGAAAAGCACCATCTCCTAAAGCGGTCACATTAACAATTAGCTGTTGCGGTGTACCCTCAAGGAGGAACCAACTCTTAGCTAGCCCCCCACCAACTCTTAGCTAGTCCCCCAGCCAACTCTTAGCTAGCCCGTCAGCCGGCTTTTCTGAGACAGTAAATCGCTGGGGAGGACATTACCCATCTTTCTCCCATGTAAGCATCTGGTGTCTCTCTGGAGACTAAGGTGCGTCTGATACAGGCCATGGTCTTCGCAATCACTTGTTATGCATCAGAGAGTTGGACGATGACCAAGGAGGATAGAGGGAGAATTGATGCCTTTGAGCTGTGGTGCTGGAGAAGAGTATTGAGAATACCATGGACTGCTAGGAAAATAAACAGATTTGTCCTGGAAAGGGTTAAACCAGGTGGCTCCTTGGAGGCAAGGATTCTGAGGCCCCATCTAACATACTTTGGACATGTTGTGAGGAGAGACAGGTCCTTGGAGAAGGACATCATGCTTGGGAGGGTGGAGGGACAGCGCAGGAGGTGAAGGCCCTCTATGAGGTGGATTGATTCAGTGACTGGGATAATTGGGATGGGAGTGTCAGAGACAGTGCGATTGGCACAGGACAGAGTGGAGTTTAGGGCTGTTGTACATAGGGTCGCTATGAGTCGCAAGCGACTCGATGGCACATAACAACAACAAACAACAAGCATCTGGTGGTGCCTTTCCTAACCGCTAAGCCACCCTGTAAAACACCTACACTAACTCTAATCCCTGCAAAGCAGCTAGGCTAAAGGGTGTTGTCGTTAGGTGCTGTCCACTTGATTATAAATCACAGCGACCCTATGAACAAACGAGCTGGACTTGGCCCTGTTTCATTATCCTGTGCCATTCTCAGCCATCTCTGGTGCACTTGAGCTCACAGATACAGTAAGGGTCTTCCTCCCTTTCTCCGACTCTATCTACCTCTCCAAGCATGGTGCATTTTTCCAGGAACTGGCCCTTCCTGACAGCATGGCCAAAGTGCGTAAGTGGAAGTACCAGCACCTTTGCCTGTAAGGAGAAACATGGTAACATTTTCTCCGAGAGCGACCTGTTTGTTCTTTTGGTAGTTCATGGGACTTTTTTTTTTCCTTCTCCAGCACCACTTTTCAAAAGCATCCGTTTGACTTCTGTCTTCCTCATTCTTTGTCCAGCTTTCGGATGTATTTCAGGAAGCAATTGCCAAAACGTTCGCTTGGATCTGGAGCACCTGAGTCTTTAAACTGACAACCTTGCTTCTTAGCACACTGGAGAGGTCTTTGCCTGCAGATTTCTTGTGTAACACATCTGTTGATTTCATTCATATATCTATATATCTAGATCTAGATCTAGATATCATCTATATCTATATCATCTATATATATCATCTTTATACCATCTATATCTATATCTATCTATTTATATATCTATATATGCTAAAAAATGGAAAAGGTTTATTAAGATAATGCAAAGGAGGCATAGTTTGTGAAAGATAAAGATAGAAAGGTAAGAAGGAAAAAGCGGAGAAACCCCCCTGGAAACTCAAGGGTAGATCCAAAGTTTCTGACAGGCAGTCAGCCAAAAAAGGTCTGTTGATTTCTTCCTTACTTTTCGAATCTCTAGCCCTTCACCTCTCCGAGGTACCAAGTACCTCTAGCCCACTGTCTCTATGATCCCCACTTCCTGTCTCCTTTCACTTCACTCTCTAGCCCTCTATCTCTGTCACCTGCATTTCCTGTCTCTTTCTAGTCTGTCTATCTTTCCTTTTCTTTCTCAGGTTTTCTGTTGCCCCCTTACGCTTTCTGTCTCTCTCTGAGTTGTCCATCTATTTATGGCCTTTGTGTGTGTAGCTCTTTGGATCTCTCACTCTCTGTCCTTCTGCCTCCATGGCCCCCACTTCCTGTGTGTGTGTATGTGTGTGTGTGTGTGTGTTCCTGACTCACCCTTTGGATTTCTGACCTCTGCTCCTTTATCTGTCATCCTCTGTCTCTACTCCACCATCCCTATTCCCTCCTGCTCCTCAGTTTTTCTAACTCTCCATCCTTGTCCTGCCCCCCACCCCCAGGTCTGCAACAGGACCCCAGGCTGCGCTGGCAGGCAGGCCCAGCACTGGGGCGCTCCTTCCTGCATGGACTGGAGCTGAACAACGGGCAGCTGCGTGTCCTGCAAGATGGCATCTACCGGCTGCACATCCAAGTGACACTAGCCAACTGCTCCTCTCCACAGAGGACCAGGTCCCAACAGGCCACACTAGCCATCAGCGTCTGTGGCCCGGCCACTCACCAGACCACCCTGCTGCGTCTCAGTTTCTACTCTGACTGTACAGTGGCTTCCCAGCGCCTGACACGCCTGGCCGCAGGGGACACCTTGTGCACTGACCTCACTGGGCCCCTGCAGGCCTCCCCAAACACTGATGAGACTTTCTTCGGGATTGAGCGGGTTCACCCCTGAGTGGGACCTCTACCTCATCATTGTTTGCACCAGTCCTTCCCGTGTGGGAAGAATTTTCCGTTTTATTGACTTCAAAGTCAAGTTTATTTGCTGCTGTACATAAAAAAAACCCAGTTGTAATTGTTGTGTTGTCATGAATATCTCTTCCTTGTTTTATTATACAGTTGCTGTTGAGTTCAATCCCTTCGGCCCATAGTGATGTTTTAAACAACAGGTCAGAATCTTGTCTTATCCTGTGCTGTCCCCATAATCTCTGATAACGCTTGAGCCCACTGATAAACTGTGTCAATCCATCTTGTTGAGGGTCTTCCTCTCTTTTCCTGACCCTGCACCTTTTCCAGCACGATGTCTTTTGCCCAGCCCCTCCTAACAACATGCCCAAAGTATGGGAGACAAAGTTTCACCGCTTTTACCCCTAAACAGCACTCTGGCTGCACTTTTTCCAAGACATATTTGTTTGTTCTTCTGGCAGTCCATGGCATATTCAGTACTCTTCTCCAACATCCCATCTCACAGGCATCAATCATTTCTTCTTCTGTCATCCTTAGTCATTGTCCAGCTCTCAGGTGCATGATAAGTAATTAAAAAGACTATGGCTTAGATCAGGGGCACCTTAGTCTTTAAACTGACATCCTTCCTCAGAAGCACCTTGAAGAGGTCTGTGACAGCAGATTTCCTGACTGTAAATGTCTTTTAATGTCTCAACTGCTGGTACCAAAGGTGTTGATTGTGGATGCAAGCAAGAGGAAATTACTGACAACTTCAGTCTTTTCTTTATTTGTTGTAATGTTGCCTGTTATTGGGGGTTTTTTGCCATCGAGTCAGAACCTCATGGCTGAAGCTCGAGCAAGTTTGCAGAGGCACTAAATTAGATGGCGTAAAATTGCCTTTATTTCTCCAGTGGAGCAGCTGGTGGATTCGAACTGTATGCCTTGAAGCTGGCAGTGCAACTCCTTACCAGGAAGCCGCCAGCGCTGCATACATTGCCTGTGAGCGCAACATATATCATGTAGGAGGAAAATGAGAAAGGGTCTCAGCAAGACGGAAGGCACAGTGCCTGCAACAACAGCTCATAAGGTGCGATAAGATTCAAGCCTGCTCAGATCACAATTAATTACATCCTGTGGGACCTCACATCCGCTCAATAGTGCTCAATCACGCATACAGCTCTGGCAAAATGCGGGGTGTTTTCTTCTCTGAGATAAACAAGTCTATAATTACTATTATTATTACTTCTCAATAATGGTTTTAAAGAACTCAAACCCCAGACTCCTGTAGCACTGAACACCAGGAGGTGAGCTGAATCTACCCAGCTGTGGGCCTGGGTTCTCAGACATTGAGGGACAGGCGGGCAGGTGGCTGGGCCTGCAAGCCTAGCTGCTCCTCGGGGTGGAGCAGTGGACCAAGCAGGCAGGCTCCACCCACTGCCCCACTGCTGTCTCTTTCCTTCTGAGATCCCGCCCCCACCGACCTGCATCCACCAGGCTAGGAATTCAACCAGCCACATCAGGGGTAATCAGGTGGGGGTTTTGAAAAAGCAGAATTTCCACGGCATTTTCTTTCAGATGAGGGGTGGTTTTGTGTGGTTTTTTTTCTTCTTCAGTCTTGAAGGAATCAAATCCTCCTCCCACAGGCTTTGGTGGAGGTCCTGGGGCAGCACCTGCGGATCTAAATGTGGGTGGAGGTGTTCTGTCCTTCTGGACATGGAACAGTTTCTCACCACCGTGCTGTGAATGGTAAAGCTCACACCACAGTGCAGGGAAGTGTCTACGCCTAAAAGACACTCGCTTCATAAATTTCTCTAACGGCAGCTGCCTCTACTCCATTCCTACTTCTGAATTTCTTAATTGCCTTGTCTTTGGGCACGCAGCGAGGGTAGTGTGCACAGTGAAGAGGCTGCATGTGGCTGCGGCCCTTTTTGGCACTGCCGTTGTCTCTCCTTTGTCATCTTGGAAACAAGGACCCAAGGGAGCCCATGGGGTTTTAACATGGTGTCCATGCAACATTGGAATCACAGGGTTAGCTCTGGAGAATGTTCTTGCCTATTGTGGTAGCCACTGTTTCTACCTATCTCACAGAGGGTCGTCATTTCTTTGATCCTCTACCCTTTCCAGCATGATGTCTTTTTTTGTGTGTAGACTGGTTCCTTCTGACAATATGCCCGAAGTATGTGACACAGTTTCACCACCCTTGTCTCTCAAAAGCACCCAAGTTGCACGTGCTGCAAGACAGATTTGTTAGTTCTTTTGCAGTTCACAGACTATTCAGTGCTCTTTCTTCTTCAGCACCACAATTCTAAGTCATTAAATTGATTTTCTGTCATCCTTAGCCTTAACTTTCATATGCATAGGAAACAATTGGAAAATACCCTGGCTTGGGTCAGTTGCACCTTATTCTTTAAACTGACACCGTTGTTCTTTAGCACTTTGGAGAGATCCTTGATTTCGCCAATGCAACATGTCTTTTCATTTTTTTGACTGCTGCTACCATGGGTGTTGATTGTGGACCTACATAAAATGAAATCATTGGCAATTTCAATCTCTTCTCCGTCTATCATGAAATTGTCTATTGGTCCAGTGGTAGAAGTTTTGTTTTCTTGATGTTGAGATGTAATTCATATTGAAAGCTGTAGCCTTTGATCTTGTTCAGTGAGTGTATCAAGTATTCTTCACTTTCAGCAAAGAAAATTGTGTCATCTGCGTAATGTAGATCATTGATGAGTCTTCCTTCCGTCCTTATACCACATTCTTCTTCATATAGTCCAGCTACTTAAGTTATTTGTTCAGCATACAGGTTGAACAGGTGTGGAGAAAGGATTCAACTTCAACTTTATTTTTTTTAAATTTTTAAATTTTATTTTATTATTTTGCCTGTGTGTACCATCAAATCGGATCTGACTGGTACAGGAGGAGATTGTGCCTCCTTCACCAGCAGAGCATCTGGTGGATTCGAACTGGGATTGCAGTGCAGCTTCTTGTCACTAGGCCAACAGAGCTCCCGTTAGCTTTCTTAAGAAAATCTCACTTTCTTAATTTTAAACCATGCAGTTCAGGGTTTCCTTTTTCTATTTAGATAACCTCTTCTTGGTCTATTTATAGGTTTCTTATGAACATAATTAAGCGTTCTGGTATTCCTTTTTTCCCCCAATATTATTCATGATCATATAGGGTTTAGGCTGGGCTCTATGAGGAGAAATGTGGAGTCAAGATTGGGGGATGATTTATCAACAATCTGCATTATGCAGATGACACAACCCTGCTTGCTGGAACTGAAGAGGACCTGAAGCACCTGCTGCAGAGTGTCAAGGGCTGCAGCCTCCAATATGAATTGAGGCTCAATGTCAAGAAGACAAAGATTTTCACCACTGGACCAATTGGCAGCATCAGGATGAATGGTGAAGAGACTGAGATTGCACACAGCTTTAGTTTGCTTGGCTCCACAGTCAACACTCTTGGCACCAGTAGCCAGGAAATTAAAAGGCACATTGCCATAGGAAAGTCTGCTGTTAGGGACCTCTCCATAGTACTGAAGAGCAATGGTGTCTCCCTGGAGACTAAGGTGTGTTTGATACAGGCCATGGTCTTCGCAATCACTTGTTATGCATCAGAGAGTTGGAAAATGACCAGGGATGATAGAAGGAGAATTGACGCCTTTGAGCTGTGGTGCTGGAGAAGAGTATTGAGAATACCATGGACTGCTAGGAAAACAAACAGATTCGTCCTGGAAAGGGTTAAACTGGGTGCCTTCTTGGAGGCAAGGATTCTGAGGCTCTGTCTAACATACTTTGGACATGTTGTGAGGAGAGACCAGTCCTTGGAGGACATCATGCTTGGGAGGGTGGAGGGACAGCGCAGGAGGGGAAAGCCCTCTATGAGGTGGATTGATTCAGTGCCTGGGGTAATCGGGATGGGAGTGTCAGAGACAGTGCGATTGGCACAAGCCAGAGCAGAGTTTAGGGCTGTTGTACATAGGGTCGCTATGAGTCACAAGCGACTCGATGGCACATAACAACAACAATTCATGATCTGTTAAGATCCACATAGCCTTTGCATGGTCAATAAAACACAAGTAAACCTCTTTCTGGTGTTCTCTGCTTTCAACCAAGATCCATCTAACATCAGCAATGATATTTCTCATATTATGGCCTCTGCTGAGTCCACCTTGAATTTCTGACTGCTCTCTGCCAATGTGTTGCTTAAACCATTTTGAATAATCCTCAGCAAATTTTACTCATATGTGATATTAATGACATTTTTTAATAATGTGTACACAAAAAGATTGGATCAGCTGTTGGGGGAACAGGGATAAATATGGATTTCTTTTCAGTCAGTTAACCAGGTAACTGTCTTCCGTATTTCTTGGCATAGAATAGTGAGTGTCCAGGGCTGCATCTGTTTGTTGGAACATGTCAATTAGTATTCTGTCAGTTCCTAGGGCCTTACTTTTTTTGCAAATGCCTTCAGTGCACTTTCAATGTTTCCTTTCAATGCTATTGGTTCTTGATCATATGCTACTTCCTGCAATGGGTTAGGGTCTACCAATTCTTCTTGGAACAGTGACTCTATATAACTTCCATCTTTCTTCTCCCACCTCTTCCATCTTCTTTTGATGCTTCCTGTATTGTGCAGGATTTTTCACACAGAATCCTTCAGTATTGCAACTCAAGGCTTGAGCTTGCTCCTTAGTTCTTTCAGCTTGAGAAATATTGAGCATACTTTCCCCTTTTGGTTCCCTAACTCCAGCTCTTCATTCATTTTGTCATAATGCTTTGTTTTTCCTTCCCCGAGATGCCCTTTGAAATCTTCCATTCAGCTCTATTAGTCTCTCATTTCTTCCTTTCACTTTGACGTCTTTACATTCAAGATGAAGTTTGCTATTTTACCAAGCATGATGTCATTCTCCAGAAAATCACCCTCTCAAGAGGGTTAACCGTTAAACCTGGAAAACCTTAGCATGTGTAAGGCAGAAACGTGTAAGAAACAGGAAATGGGAATTTTTTT